TCACACACACACACACACACACACACACACACACACACACACACACACACACACACACACACACACACACACACACACACACACACACACTTTATCTGTACTGGCTGCCCCCCCCCTCGTGTCACGCTCTTATCTCTCGGCCTATAGTGCGTCTGGATGGCGAGGGGCGGCCGGCGGACGTCCACGCGATTCTTTTCACGTCGTCATGGAAACGCCGTCACGCATTCCGGCAGGTCGGAGCCGCTGTGCGAAGGATGTTTATCAGCGTATCTCTGCCACAATATTTGTGTGATGTCACGTCTGATTGTGGAGTGTGTGCGTGTGTGCGTGTGTGTGCGTGCGTGTGTGTGCGTTCGCGTGATAAAATTCCAAACCCCAGATTTTTGTTCTTTGGTGTTCACATGTAAACTGATCTTTATTCATTCGTCTGTTCAGCTTTTACTAAACTAGCTTCCCAGTTTGTTTGCTGGACTTGTTTCTGCATTGTAGGGATCTGAGGGGGGTGGAGGACGGGACATGAGGTCCACGTGTGCCAGGAGACACGACTGAAGGAAGATGGAGGGAAGACAGCGTGTCGTGTCTGGCTTTTTACTGACTGCTGGAACGACCGGAGTGATTTATTTAGTTTCTTTGATGGACAGATTAAAATGTCTCCAGAGACACCCTCTGCCTTTTGACTGCTGCGCTGCCATTTATTCACCTTCCTCCGTGCCCTCCTGGTACGATATATATATATAGATATATATATATCTATATATATATAGATATATATCGTATATATACATATATATATATATATAATAACAGCTCGGGGGGGTTGGACTATTGAAGACAAAGGTTTCCTAACTGTTACTTTGGGTGCAGTGAGATGTGAACAAACCGACTCACTCTCAACCAATCAGAGGGCTGGATTTCATCCACCCGCATTATAATTGATTGAACTACTGCTGAATAGATGAAAACTCGGAGGCAGTTTTCTGGCCTCTGATGTTTATGGTTCGTCTGAGCCAAACGCTGAAGGTGTCACAGGATTCGGCCTGATCTCTGACAGCTGTCCGTCTGTCGCTTCAAAGGCGTGTTCAACTTTTGCACGCATTTCTCCATTTACCTGCATAACTTACTTTAGAACCTGTTGTAGTGTGTCTGAGTGTTTTTAAACCGGTTGGTGCGTATCGTAGACTAATGTTTCAAACGGTGTGAAGCGTTTGTGTTGATCCATAATCCTGTTCTGGCTGGTTCTGTACCAATGAAACTGTTGTTCTATACTACCTGCTCAGGTACTCTGTGTACTACCTGCTCAGGTACTCTGTGTACTACCTGCTTGGCTAGTATACAGAGTACCTGAGCAGGTAGTACAGAGTACCTCCTCATACTACCTGCTCAGGTACAGTTATTGATCAACCAGTTTTAACGCGTGGATAAACGAGTGATGTCATCACCTTGACGAGGTGATCAGTGAAATGATTGATCATCATAATGATTCTCAGAAGCCTCCATCATGACCGATGGGTTTCACTTTCAGAGTTGTCCTACTTTAGGGAAGTACAGATCTGGGATAGATGTCCCCCCTCCGTCCCCCCTCCGTCCCCCCCCCGTCCCCCCGGAGCTCAACCAGAGGTAGATGGACCAATGACAGATCCAGGTCCGCGGGACCGGAGGACTCAGAGTGCTCTGCTGGAATAAACAGTGCCTACTCATCCCCCCCCCCCGGGGTTGAGTGCCACAAGAAGACCAACGATCACAAGATGTGGCACCTCCCCCTCCCGGGCCGCCGCCCCGGGAAGGGGGAGCCCTGATATGGACCCATCTTATGTGCTTGATGCAGAGAGCAGGAATGATGAGAGGAGACAAGGCGGGTCTATAGGTTTCTTCAATATGCAAAAAAGATCACCTGGGGGAGAACCCGCAGAAGCAAAAGCCTCTACCGAACGCCACGTCCGGAGAACGCCGCTATCGACACGGAGCCAGTGGTGACCTCTGACCTTGTACGGAGACCTTTGGGTGCTCTTTCTTGCTGCACTCCGGCTGGGTCAGCTGGTCGAACAGCACCTGGGGGGGCGGGCGGGCGGCGTCCTGCGCAGCGGAGGTCGGGAGGAGGAGGAAGAGGAAGAGGCCGGCCATAGACAAGGGGGAGGAGTCCAGCAAGGACGCCGTCATGGTGATGACCTCTCCTCTGGGATGCAGCTGGAAGGATAAGAAATACATTTTTACACCTCAACACATGAACCCCACACACACACACACACACACACACACACACACACACACACACACACCTTTCCTGCAGGAGCTGCTTCCTCAATAACGGAACCATCAATAACAAATTATTATCCCCAGTTGAGTTACGGAATCAAACCAATCAATGAAGCCTTTCCCGCTGCAGCGGCTCGCCAGTTATGCAAATGTGTGAAGCCCCCGAGAATGTTTAGAGAGAAGAAGAGATGGAGAGTGATCATGTATTTATTATTGCATTGGTCAACACACGTCTTCTAACACAGATTCATTCTGCACGTCTCCCACGTGACCATCACGTGACCACCAGTCAGTCCCACAGGACCCCTGGTGAGCAGTGACCCCCCAGGACTCGATACCACATCATTCACATGGAGACGAGGGAGGAGGTGAGTGGGAGCTCCTCTGGTCCCGGTGACATGAAGACAAGGAGCAGCTGTTATCAGCGTTGTGTGGAACGAACACGCGTGATGTATGACGGAGAGGAACTTAGTCAGATGGAACCTCAGCATGTTGCTTTTTATTTATTTCGTTTCCTTGAAAAAGAGTTGAGAAAACCACATTTTGTTTTTTAACAAACAAACAGTATTTTTGTATGTATAGTATGTGAAGGAGCTTCTGTAACGTGTGGTCACGTGAGAAGGAGGTGAGACGGCGTGTCGATGTATTTAGGATCGCAGCCAGAGATCATTCAGGATAAAAGAGGTCAAGTATGAATACGCGCGGTTCTGCCAGCGTATCCATGGCAACAGAGCGGCAAGCCGGTAACAACAGCGCCAACGGGTCGAGTGTATTTCAACACAGACCTCCACAGTCTGCTGGGGGGGGGGAGGGGGCACTGTGCTCTTTGTTTGCATTTTATTTCATTTGCAGTTCTGTTCTTGGTTACTATTTAATTTGAATATTGTCATCGTTGCTGAATTCAAGTAGATTTATTTATACTAAACATCTAACAATGAAATACTGTAAAATTGAACACATTTAATTTGATACTTGTTATCATCTTATTTCAATTGATAGAGCATTATTTTTGGTGTTTTTGTCGTTAGTTGGTCAAAGCACTTAATAGACACACAGTTAAATATGTTGTTATATTATTTATTATATTATTAAACTGACGCCTCACAAGCTTCCACAGAGCAAATAAATCAACTATGATTAAAAAATGCAGGAAGTAGACACAGCAAATATATATTATATAATATATATATATATATATATATAAATATATATATATATATATATATATATATTCATAGATATATTATATATACATAGATATATAATATATATATATATATTATATGCAGGACAAATATACATTTGTATCCTGCAGACTGTCTGTGGATCATCAGGACAGCAGCAATCAGAGGGCGGGACCAGGAGCCACAGTCTGATTGAAGGATGTGCTTCAGCCCGGAGAGACGACCATTAGAGGCCCGTTAAGTCAAATCAGACCTCGGCTTGATTGGCGCGCACGCACACACGCACACACAGACACACACACACACACGCACGCACACCTGAGACAGCCGCAGTCTGTGATAACACTCAGACTCACACAGACGCAAAGCTCACTGCGCTAACAATGAAATCAATACACAATGACACTGAGACAGACTCACATCACACTGCTGTGAAACGCGGTCGAGCCAATCAGAGGCCGCCTGAGGACGAGGTCACACGGCCCGCTCAGAACCTCGCCGCTCCTCTCGGGACAAAGAGGACATATTTGATGCGCATTCGTTCACACATTTTGTGTCGCTGCTGTTTTCGTCACGCACACACAAACAGCAGACTATCACAATAAGAGTCTCCCTCAGAGAGCAGGATTACAACACGAGACGTGGCGACTTGTTATCTTTCACTCTGCTTCTTCACAATTACAATATAAATGCAAATATTTGAAGGATTTATTCAGCGTTCCACGAGCGACGAGGAGACGTCTTTCATAACTGCTGCCTGGATAATAAAACCAACACGTAAAGACCTTTATGACTCATAATCCTGCAAGCAAATAACGTCAGATTCAACAGTGAACTCGGGTACAGGTGCTCTTTGGGTCGCAAACGGACAGAGGTCAGAGGTCAGACAAAGGTCAGTCCTTATCCGGCTACAAGAGGTCACCACCACACATCCAAGAGTTGTACTTCCTGATTCCATAGGGATTATAAAGTGCGTGCGTGTGTGTGACTGTGTGCGTGCGTGTGTGTGTGTGTGACTGTGTGTGTGTGTGTGTGTGTGTGTGTGTGTGTGTGTAGTGGAGGAGAGCCGGCGTTCCCACAGAATCCTTCTTATTGGATTCTAGCTTTGGGCATTCATCACCGGCCACCGTGGTGCCGCTAAACTTTAATAAAAGCTCACCTGCCAACGGAGGAGCAGGAGGAGCAGGAGGGGGAGGAGAGGAGAAGAGGAGGAGGAAGGGGAGGAGGGGGAGGAGGAATTTGTTATGTTACCTAGTTACGACTGGAGGTCTGAGGGGCGTTCAGGGCCCCGTGTTGATAAAGCCGGTTGTCAGGGCCGTTATGTTGTCACGTTGTTGTGAATGTGATTTGTGGCTCAGGGTGGTAACATTGGTCCCTCGGGCTGCAGACATGGACATGGCTGGAGGCCTCAGTGAGAGACAGTCCTCTCCTGAGCGTGTCTCTAACAGCTGATCGTTGCCGTTGATGAGCTCCTCTTCCTCAGTGACACGCTAACGGCTGCAGGTGGACGTCTGGGCCTGTTTGTGCAGCTTAGAGGCTCTACGGGACAAAACGGGTCCTCTGGGACGCAGACCGTCAACACAGCAACGGCTCACCGTCCCGGGGGGGGGGGGGGGAGGGGGGTCTGCTGTAAGTGATGTTCATTTGCATACAGAGTGAGATTCTGATCACCGGCGTGTGTGGAGGCGCACACACACACACACACACACACACACACACACACACACACACACACACGGACAAATGGCCGTTTAGGAGAAACCACTTTTCACAAACCCCCCACTGTCGGAGCCCCCCGCTGCCACAGAGACTCAGAGCCCAATGGGGGGGGGGGGGCAGACACACAGACGCTGCCACAACAACTCATCGGTCCCTCCAGTTCGGCGTAGTAGCGGTCGCCATCTTGTAATATGTGTATCTATCAGACCTGTCAATCAGACAGCCCTAAAGCATCCCCTTTCTGTTTGACTCCACATGGACCATCATCTACTAAATGAACATCATGCTGCTTTGAGGTTGAGACCATAAACTCACGTTTACAGTGATTTCCTCATAGACGTCTATGGGAGCAGAGGAGTCGCCCCCTGCTGGTCACTACAGAGAAGTAGAGTCATTTCCTCATAGACGTCTATGGGAGCAGAGGAGTCGCCCCCTGCTGGTCACTACAGAGAAGTAGAGTCATTTCCTCATAGACGTCTATGGGAGCAGAGGAGTCGCCCCCTGCTGGTCACTACAGAGAAGTAGAGTCATTTCCTCATAGACGTCTATGGGAGCAGAGGAGTCGCCCCCTGCTGGTCACTGCAGAAGATGCAGCGTTAGATGAAATCTCTTGAGACCTTATTTCAGACTGTAAACCATTCAGAAGAAGCCTTTGATGGAGGGAACAGGAAGTGTACCCAGGCGGATCAAAGGTCACCGATCAGAGTTCCACGTCAGAGTCAGACGACACAGAGGAGGATTATTTGTTCCGTTTCATGAACCCTGCTTATGATGCTCTCTGTAAAGCCTGATCCCGGCTTGGGGAGTGATGGAACATCTTCTCGCTGACACAAGACATCAAGCCCGACGCTCATTTGCAACCCTGCAAACACGCCGCTGTAATTAAATCCATTGTGATGTGATTAGAAAGGAAAAAAAACATCTTGTGTCCCGGTTTTAATTGGCGTGTGGTCCCACAACACAATGTGTGGTTACGGGCCGTCCTGAGGCGTGACAGGGAACCGCGCCAGCCAATGTGGTGATGCAGAGGAAACCGGCGGGATCACCGGTGGCGTTGTTTACGCTTTGTGATTTAGGGGAATGGAGGCGAGCACCCGAAGGGGCCGCGTTGTGTGATTGGCAAATAATCACAGGAAACAGAAAAGACAAATGCAGCTTCTCCTCTGGATGAAGCAAATGATCCCTTCATTTCTGCCCATTAGTTGTGTAAATGAGGAGTTTCATCCCGCCGAGCTGTGGCCGGGAGGCTGCACGGTGTGCGTGTGTGTGTGTGTGTGTGCGTCGGCTGCTTGCACAATGTGCAGGAAAGCGTTGGTTTTCTTCAGCGATCAGTCACCTGCACAAAGAGAAAACATTTCCAAAGACCCAATCAGCGGCCTCCATTAACTAATTGGAGCAGCCGCACTTTTCAATTCAATTAAGGCACTTTTTATGTTTGAGTCGTTTAGTTCTGCTCTCTTTGAATATTGAAGTGAAGTAATCGTGCCTCCAGGCCTTAGAGTGTGTGTGTGTGTGTGTGTGTGTGTGTGTGTGTGTGTGTGTGTGTGTGTGTGTGTGTGTGTGTGGGCATGGGTTGAAACAGCAAGAATAATTGAAGCTGCACAGAGACCAGCCTGTCGCTCAGGGAGGAGGGTTACGTGTGACCAAGTGTCCTCCTGGTCTCTTTGTGTCTCTTTCCGGTAGTTCTGCATCTTCTGGCTGCTCTCCGTCCTTTCTGGAGCTCTATCGCGCGTCGTCCTTCTGCGTCTCACTTTCATCCCGTTCTGGCGGCCGTGACGCTTCATAGTAGCGTTGCACGGTGTACCGGTACTAGAAAGGTACCGCGGTACCCTCACGTTACGGTTTTGACTATTTGTAGTACCGGTACTGAGCGCTCCGTGTCGGGCCGCCTGCACACATCGACTGCGCAGCTCTCACACAGCGAGTTATCGGGGGAGACGCGCCCTCACGTAGCAGACTGCTCACCCGTATACACCATTAGCCTTAGCCTAGCTTAGCTCGGGTGACCACATGTCCTCTTTTACCCGG